AATGGAGAATTCATCTGTCATTTCCTCATAAAAGGAGTAAAAGACTTGGTATAAGGAACTCTCATGGGTAACAGTTATTAACTTAAGGTGTAACAGACTGCCAGGGTCAAGGCCTTTGCCATCTATCCTTATGCAAATTATCTGTCCCTGTGTCCAATCAGATGGCTTAAGTACAGTAAAATTTACAGGGTTACAGGTGCCTTGATTGCAGTTAGAGGTAGTAGTGCCCTTTTGAAGAAGGGCTGTGTGGTTAGCCCCGTGCCATGTGGCCCATGAAACACGACTCCAATAAGGAAAAAAATGATAACCCTCATCATCACATGGCCAAGCGTTGTCTCCCTGGCACATATATTTTTCATTTGATGCAGAGGCTCTTTCTCAAGCCAGCCCCCACAGCCACAGGCTGTACCTCCACATAGCCTGTACCCTTTGTCTATGGCTGCACATGCATCAAACAACAATGACACTGGTTTATCAGGATCGAACACCTGGGTTCAAGTAACAATGTCCCCAGAGAAGTGGCCACTCCTAAGTTCTAACCAGTACTCTTGAGGGCGATAAATGGGGTTGAAGCAGGTATATTGATTATCATGGGAGCACACTTGATAGATGGTGTGATTGTGAGTGCATGACCCAAGGACAGAGCCTGCACAGGAATAGTAAGCATGGAACAGTAAAGTCTTAGTAACAATACGTCCTGCCCACACAATGTGCATGCATGGGTCACAGGAGGAGGATTTCTGGGCTGCAAAGGCAAAGAGCCAGATGAGGACTAAGAAATTATGTAGGAGTGGAAGAGGGAGAGAGTTTGCGGGAGAGGCATAGCCATGTGGGGCCCAGTGGTATGCAAGAGTACTCATCCTTTACTGTAGCAGAAGAGTCTGAGGTTGGTGGGCAATGTTTTATCCTTGAGAGGTGCTGCCACTGGGGGATCCCATTGAGCTTGACAGTGGTGGGTGTTGTGAGGATGACCAGATGAGGTCCAGTCCACCGAGGTCCCAATGGAGAGGGTTGAAGATACTTTAGGAGAACAAGATCCCCTGGTTTAACAGAGATGGTTATAGGGCCCTCTGAGGGGTGGGGCAGGATCTGGTCCGAATGTTCTTTGAGAAGTTCCCTTAGAAGGTTAAGATAAGGCAGATTGTTAGCAGGGTCTGTTGGAGGCAAGTTTCCTAAGAGAAATGGGCAGCCATACATTATTTCAAAGGGGCTCAAGAAGGAAGGGCTTCGGGGGGTGGCCCTGATGCAGGCCAAAGCTAAGGGCAAGAGCTGAGTCCAGGGTAAGTGGAGCTCAATGGAGAGCTTTTTTAGATGGTTTTTTATTATTCTGTTTATTCTCTCCACTTTTCCTGATGATTGAGGGTGGTAAGGGATATGTAGGTTCCAAGCCACTCCCAGGGCAGAGGAGACTGTTTGGGTCACCTTTGAGTGATAAAGCTGGACCATTATCAGATTTTAAAGTCCAAGGCAATCCAAAGTGGGGGATAATGTCATTGATTAAGTGGGTAGATACTATGTCTTCTGACTCGCCTGTAGTGGGAAAAGCCTCAACCCATCCAGAAAAGGTGTCAACCAGGATTAATAAATGTTTAAGTTTTTTATGAGCTGGCATATGGGTAAAATAACCTGCCAATCTTCTCCTGGTATGGAGCCCTGGAGCTGGTGAGTAGAGAAGGAAGGGGGTGGTATCAGGCCACCCTAGGGGGAAACCTGGGCACAGGTAGGGCACTCTTGGGTAATCTTTTTTATGAGAGATGGGAGAGAAGGATGAAAGAACAAGGGTTGAGGAAAGCCGAGAAGGGGCTTAGCGCTAATATGAAAGGTTTTGTGAGTGGCCCTTAGAACCCTCTCTGCTTGTGTGTTGGGGAGAACATGTTTTCCATTTAAAAGGAACCATCCCTGTGAACCTGGTGTGGCTCCTAGATTAATAAGTCTGTCTTGCTCTTCTGATGTATAGGTAGGGTCTATTTTAGGGGTAGTTCTGAAAAGTGCCCTGGGGGGAGTCTGAGTATTAGCCCTTTTGGCCTCTTTGTCAGCAAAGGCGTTGCCTTGGGCAGTCTGTAGTTTCTGGTTGGTGTCCCTTGCAATGGACTACTGCCACTTTTGTGGGAAGGTAAGAGGCCTTGAGCAGTTTAAGAATTAGAGACCCGTTGGTGATGGGTGTGCCCTTTGTGGTGAGAAAGCCCCTTTCCTCCCAGAGAGCAGCATGATGGTGTATAACGTGGTAAGCATATTTAGAGTCAGTAAAGATGTTGGCTGTCTTACCCTCAGCTAAGGTGAGGGCTCTGGTTAGGGCGATCAGTTCTGCCTTTTGAGAGGTGGTACCCCATGGGAGAGGACTGGACTCAATAACATTTGTGAGGGACACTGTAGCATAGCCTGTTTGTCTCTTGCCCTCTGAGCTAGTAAGTTCTGCCTTTTGAGAAGTGGTGCCCCAAGAGAGAGGGCTAGATCCAATAGCTTTTGTAAGGGACACTACAGCACATCTCTTCCCCTCTGAATCTAGTGAGGAGCTGCCATCTATGAACCAGGAGACTTCAGGATCAGGTAGGGGTGAGCAGGGTAGATGAGGCTGAAAGTATGTAAGAGGTTCTAGAGTTTCTAAGCAGGAATTGTTCTAAGGGTGTGCCATCAGAAAGCAAGGTGGCAGGATTAAGGGGAGGGCAGGATAAGGAAGGAATGTGTAAAGGGAAAACCCAGCATATAGCATGAGAATGGGTCAGTAACTTTTGGCTGGTGGAGGAGACCATCCACCCCCACCACGAAGATCTGTAAAAGATAAAGCTTACCCGGAAAGTCAGGTAGCACCGAGCAGGTGGCCCTCTTGTAAGGAAATCAACCTACCTGCTACTTGGACGGTTACCCTGGACTCCTCCGAAGTGATCTTGAGGGGGGGCCAAGGTTCCAGGGCCACGTCAGTCTTCTGCCGCCAGGCCCAAGAGGTCCATAAGGCCTTTAGTCTGGTGGGAATGGGGATGGGAGGCTGACCTACCTTGTAGAGGCAAAGAGGGGCAGTCGACACTCCAGTGTCCATTCTGGCCACATTGTGGACAGGGTCCTGGTGGAGGGCAAGGTGAAGGGCAGTTTTTTGCCCAATGTCCCGTCTGGTTGCATTTGAAGCAGGCCCCTGGAGGCGTGTGTTGTTCGACCCTTTTTGACCATGGAGGAGGTGGCCTCAGGGTAGCCGCCAAGAGCTGGCCCCTACAGTGGTCTGGGGCCTCCTCTTCGTTGTTAAATATCTTAATGCCATTTTTACATGATCTCCTTGCGGGGTTTGAGGGCCATCCTCTGCCTGTTTCTTTTTTCTTTTTCTTTTTGTTTTTTTTTTTTAGTATCAGGGGAGGATTGGGAAATAAAGTGGGAGTTGAGAATAAGCATTCCTGCCCTTCAGGAAGGGTCAAGCTTAGTATAGCGGGTTAAGGTTTTTGTCAGGTGTCCCAAAAACTCAACAGGGTTTTCAGTTGGGCACTGGATAACTTCTCTAAGCTTATCAAAATTAACTGCCCTGTGAGAAGCAGATTGTAGCCCCACAAGGAGGCAGGTGAGCATATAATTTTGGGCACCCAGCATGGTGGGTCAGAGCAGTGGGTGGATGAGGTAGAAGAAGAAGCTGGGGTGGAGGGTCTGTGAGAGGAGGAGCTGGGAGGTGGGTGGACTGAGTCAGTGAGGTCACAAGTAAAGGAGGAATCTTCTGAAGGGTGGGTCAGTGGGAGGGAGAGATACAGACTTTGAGGACAGTTTGTCATGGGCGAGAAGGATTTGGAAGGTGTGGCAAGATTTAATAAGGGAGGGTAAAGATCAAAGATAGAAAAAAGCTTGGACATATGGAATTTCAGACCACTTGCCGTTGCAGTGGCAGAAATTGTCAAGATCTATAAGTGTGTGAAAATCAAAAGTACGGTGTTTCGGCCATTGGGATTGATTGTCTAGCTTGTACTGAGGCCATCCGATGTTGCAGTAATAAGTCATTTAGGTTTTATATCTTATTGGAGACCAAGGCTCCTGAAGGAGCGAAGAAGGTATCCCAAGGGCATGGGCGCATCTAATTTTAGAGTGTGTGGTCCGCATGGTGTGGCCAGGAAAGAGAAAGGAGAGAGAGTTAAGGTTTTAAGAAGAAAAAAAGCCTCAGTGCACTGAAGTCTGGCTCCACCCACGTAGCATGGGTGATCACCAGATGGAATGGGTGGACATGCATAACCCCAGGACCCCTCGCCCACCCCATGGATACCAGGGACCTAACAGTACATACCTGTAATCCTATCACTTGGGAGGCTGAGGTGGGAGAACTAGCAGTTCCAGGCCAGCCTGGAACACTGTCTCAAAACAAAACAAAACAAAAAATCCCACTAATATGGAAGACTCTGATCTACAGTATTTCTGTCTCTCTCTCTCCTGGTGCTGGTGATTGAAAACAGGACCTCCAGCATGCTAAGCATTCATTCTATCACTGAACTAGATCCCCAGCCCCTTCTTTACACTTTCTAAAGTGTAAAATATGGACAGTAATTTATTCGTTCAACAAATGTTTATTGCACGTTTGTCATGTCATACATATTATCTTGTTTCATTTCAAACCACAACAACCTTTGAGGTAGATATGTTATAATTTTTTACAGATGAGGGAACTGAGGCTCAGGGAGGGCCGTGATTTACCAGCAGTGCCTTGGGGAAGACTCCTCTAGGGCCACAAGCATCTGTGCTCTCCCCACCCACTCTACCTGCCCAGCTTCCTACTGGTGACAACTAGCCAGGGCCCCTTCTCAGTAGTTCCCTCTGAAGTAGACAAGGGGAGGAAAGAATGTTTTCCTGAGATGACAAAAGCTCCCAGCTGCATATGCTACTGGGGCAACACTAAGAAAAGCCATCTCTTTTTATTTTTTCTGGTTGTGCTGGGGATAGAACCTAGGCATTGCACATGTGAGGCAAGCCTTCTACCACTGAGCTACATGCCCAGCTCTTGGCTTTTGGGGATAGGATCTTACTATGTAGCCCAGGCTGGCCTGGAACGCCCAGTCCTCCTGTCTCAGCCTCCTGCCCTGCTGAGATCACAGGTGTGCACTGCCACATCTGACTTATTTTTTTTTTAAGCAAAAGGCTTGGGAGTGGAAGGGCGTCAAGTTTAATCTGTTTGAATTTTTACAGGCACTTTTCTTTTTACAAGTTTGGAAACTTGAGGAACCCTTAAGGGATGCCCAAGGGATGAACTTCAGTTCCCAAGTCCCTGACTCAGGAGCCACCCTCGGGGCTCAGTGTGTCCTGGATGCCAAGGTCAAGCTCAGCTCCAGCCTGTGGTCCATTCAGCCGCACTCCTCGAAGATGTCCGGATAATGCCTGAAGAGCACAGGCGGGTCCCGGTCCCCACGGACAGGGGCCCGAGGCACCGCCCGGATGCCAGGCCTGCGGCCCCGCCGGCCCCCGGAGCAGGAGCGGTGGATCCACTGGTGCGCCTCTACCGCGAACTTCCTCTTGAAACGCATGCCGCACTCGGGGCAGGGGAAGGGCCGCTCGCCCGAGTGCATGCGCCGGTGGCTGACCAGCAGCGACGGGTAGGTGAAGCGGCGGCCGCAGTCCGCACACACATGGCGCCGCTGGGCAGCCTGAGCGTCCACGCCGGGCACAGGAAGCTGCGCACTGGTGCTCTGGTTGCGGGCCACTTTCCCAGGCTGTGTTCTCCCTGAAGACTTCCTGACAGTGGCAGTGGAGGCAGGCCTGGGTTTAACCGGATCTTCAGGCTGCTCCTTTCTAGGAGTCTGTCCAGGTGTTTGGGCCTCTAGCCAGTCTTCGTGTTCTTCCTTCTCGTTTGGGACATCTGAGAATAAGGAAGAAGCTACATTTTAAAACACTTTGCGTAGGCTATCTCAGGCTATAGGGTGCTTTCACTTACGGTGGTGCCAGCAAAGGACCACCCAGTGCTAAGCACGCAGCCTTTGACGGCAGGTAAACAGTTCAAGTGTTCTCCATCATGGGTCAAATGAGAAAAATGACTCACAGGGTTATTGGGAGGATTAAATAAAAATAAGTCGATGCATGTTAAGCACTTTGTAAATGCTCAATTAACAGTTGTTACTACTGTGATTGCTCTTTTTTTTTTTTTTTTTTTTTTTTCCTGCAGGTAAGGCTGTTTTACAGATAAGGAAATGCTCCGCTGGGGGAGGGTGTAGTAAAAGACCTAAGTAGTCATCTGGGCTTTTTTTTCTGTCTGCCACTTTGCCTGGCTTGAGCAACGTGAAAGGCAGACCTAAGCCACTTCCATTCTTAGGGGCATTTTAGTGGTTCTTGAAAGAGCAATAGTGAGTAATGTTTTCTACCAGAGACATCTCGAAACCTAAGTCTTGGCCTTGAACCCCTGATCTACTCTGATCTCAAGATGACTAATGTCCCAAGTTCTGGTCAGCTTTCTTTCCTCCCCTATTGGCTCTTTTAATTTCTTTAGGGATGCTGGAAGTGGGGACTTTGTTAGACAGGAAACCAAGTTGGGTGGGGGGGGAACCTGGGACAACCCTCACCTCTCAGAGCTCCTCCCAGGCTCTCCCCCTCCTCAGGATCCTGTGCGGCGGGGCTCCAAGCCTCACTCTCCTGTTCCATCCAAGAGATGAGGGCTGGTTTGGGGCCCGGGAGTCCTGGGAGAGAACAGGGATCACAGTGCTAGCCTAAGAGGCTGTCCCGGGAAGATGACATCCCCCTGCCAGGGCGAGGGCACCTCCTCAGAACGCATGCTCAACCTGAACAGGGTCTGCAACGCTCTCGCCTGAAGGAAGTAGATGCGGGACGGAAAGACTCCCGAGGGGGACCTGAGGCCCTAGGCATGGGAGGCGGCTGGTGCTGTTGGTGGAATAGTGTGGGATTAGGGCTCGCGATCCACTCGGTCCTCTATCATCTGCCCTGCGAACTCGGGTGAAGGAGGAGGGGGCTCTGACCCGGGGCCTCACCGAGCGCGCCCAGGAGGCCGTAGGTCTCGCGCATCACGTCCCGGTACAGAGCCCTCTGCGCGGGCCGCAGACTCCCCCACTCCTCCGGGGAGAAGTACACGGCCACGTCCGCGAAGCTCACGGGCCCGGGTTTCCTGCAATCAGGCTGGGTCTCCCCGGATCTCAGCGCCAGGAACGGGGCTGGAGGCGGCGCCATCGGGGCTCCCAGCCCCGAGCAGCGGCCGCCTTGTCCCTGGGGTCACCGTCTCCCTGCTCTTGGCCTCGGCTTTCGTCGTCCACGACAAGGGCTGCCCGAGGTCTCGGCCCCGCCCAACCTCGGTGTCCGAACGCTGCAGGGAAGGGGAACCGAAGTACAGGGGCTGGCAGCTGGGGGAATTCGAAAAAGCCGATAGGGACAAATAAAACTCCTTGGTGTTTATTCACTTCATGGCCGCTTGGACAGAGACACCCGGGTTAAAGGACCCGGAAAGTGCCTTCAGAAAATATGGCGACAACCTGGCTTCAACTGCCATTAGTTGTATTTAAGGGCGCCAGTTCTTAAGCACGTCAAATATGGCGCCTGTCTGGGTTCCCTTGCCTCAGCGTTCCGTATGCCCTTAACTACAATGGCTGCTTTAGGAGTACTTGGGTTTTGGTTTTATTTTTGGTGGAACGGAACTGTCTGGGAAGTCGCGGAAAACCTTCTTGCCTTCAAGAAAGATGGACGCGCCCGTAGCTTCGCAGACCTCTCTTCGACCTCGATTTATAGCGGCCGATGAGTGGCTGTAACCACAGGAAAAAGCTGTGCCGTGATTGGCTCCGGGCTGGTGGGGCATTTGAAAGATTCGCGGTCTTGAGTCCTCTGTTGACCGACTGGTGCACCGGGAGGATTGACATCTACGGTACCCGGGATTGTGTTCTCGACCGCCTCCCACCATTCTTCCCGGTGACGGGTTCTGGAATTCGGTCCCAGCCGGGAAGACTCACACACTATGACACACCTGGGTACAGCTGCTGAAGGAGAATCCAGGTGTAGAGCTGCGCAGCCGAAGCTCCCCTCGCTCAGTCCCCTGACTGAAGCTGCAGGCTAAGTGAGGATGGAAATTTTAATTGCACTCTAATTTTTGCCAAATGCATTAACGCATATTAAAAAGCAAGACGTCTTATAATGAAAAGGTCCAATACCCTGTACTCTCCCTTTTTATTATTGAGTTATAGTGTACATACAAACACACGGGTTTTGTTTGTTTGTTGTACTGGGGTTTTAACTTAGCTCTTTGCTGAGGCACACCTTCAGCCCATTTGGCTTTTTTTTGGGGGGGGGGTGAGGGCGGGACTAGGGTTTGAATTTAGGGCCTTCAGCTTGCTAGGCAGATGCTCTACCTCTTGAGCCACATCCCCAGCTCTAATTTCAAGTCCTGCTATTCAGGGGACTTTCTACCTTCACAATGTGCAGCTACTACCACTATTTTCATCCCATTAGGAAAACCCCTACCCATTAAGCAACACTCACATTCTCCCCTTCCTCCAGCCCTTGAAAAATGACAAATCTGTTTTCTGTCTCTCTGGACTTCCCTTTCCTGGGTATCTCATATAAATTGAATCATACAGCAGGTGGCCTTTTAGGGATTCCTGCTGTTACTTGGCATACTGTTCTTGATTTTCAACAATGTAGCATTATCAATAAAATACCTCATTCTTTTTAATAGCTGAGTAATATATCACTGTGTGTATATACCACATTTCCTTTGATTCATCAGTTGACGGACATCTGGGTTGTTTCTACCTGTTGCAATATGAAGTGTCTCCCAAAAGGCTCATGTGTTGCAGGCTTGGTCCCAAATCAGTGGCGCTATTGAAAGTGACTGGATCATTAGGACTCTGACCTAATTAGTGGACTAATCCATTTATGGCTCACAATCTGATGACATTAGTGAGTGGTGGTGAAACTAGGAGGTGGGGCCTAGAAGGGGCAAGCCTGATACTGCAGCCTCACACTCTCTTCCTCTGCTTCTGGGCCCCTACGGGGTGAGCAGCCTCCTCTGCCACCATGATGTTCTGCCTTGCCTCAGGTCCAAAGTGATGGAGCCAGCCCACCATGGGCTGAAACCTCTGAAACCGTGAGCCAAAATAAATCTTTCCTCCTTTAAGTTGACTTTCTTGGGTATTTTATCACAGCAAAAAACCTAATATACCATGTTTTGGCTATTATGATTAGTGCTGCTTTGAACATTTTGTGTGCAATTTTTTTCTTGTTTAACAGCTTTGCTTTTTTGTTTTTTGGTAGTACTGGAGTTTGAACTCAGGGCTTCATACTGGCTGGACAGGCGCTATACTGCTTAGGCCAGGTCCCAACCCAGTTTAACACCTTTATTTATTTATCACTTATTTTGGTGATACTGGGGTTTGAATTTAGGACCTCCACACTTACTATGCAGGCACTCTCCCACTTGAGCCACTCCTCCAGCCTTTTTTTGTGTTGGGTATTTGAGATATGGTCTTGCAAACTGTTTTCCTGGGCTGGCCTCAAATCTCCATTCTCCTGATGTCTGCCTCCCAAGTAGCTAAGATTACAGGCGTGAGCCACTGATGTCCAGTTTAACAACTCTTTTGAGATACAATTGACTTCCTATACATATCTCCCATTTAAAGTGTAGAGCTTAGTGGGTTTAGTTTATTACACTATTTTTCAAATTGTGATAAAATACATACTTAAGAATCTTGCCATCTTAACCACATTTAAGTTTACAATTCAGTGGCATTTATTACTTTCACAATGTTGTGCAATCATCACTATAAATTTCCAAAATGTTTTCATGAGCTTCTCCACACACCCACAGTTCCTGGAAACCTCTAATCCATTTGATTATTCTAGATATCTCATAAAAATGAGATCATATGGTGATTTCCTCTGCATCTAGCTTATGTCACATAACATGTTTTCAAGTGTCATCACTAATGTACCATATATTTGAATTTCACTTCTCTTTTTTAAAAAATTATGGTAAGTCGGGTGCTAGTGGCTCACACCTATAATTCTAGCTGTTTAGGAGCTGAGATCAGGAGGATGGTGATTTGAGGCCAGCCCATGCAAATAGGTCGTGAAACCCCCATATCCAAAATAACCAGAGAAAAATGAACTAGAGGAGTGGCTGAAGTGGTAAGAGTACTTGCTTTGCAAGAGTGAAGGTCTGAGTTCAAACTCCAGTCCCACTGAAAACATAAAATGAAAATTATGGTAATATATACATAACAAAACTTACCACTGAGGCTGGGGATGCAGCTCAGTGGTTAAGTATTTGCCTAGCATGCATAAGGTCCTGGGTTTGATCCCTGGTACTAAAAAAAAAAAACAAAAAACAAAAACTAACTTAACCACTGTATTTTTTGCAGTGCTGGGCACTCTACCACTTGAGTCACACCCCCAACCCTTTTTGCTTTAGTTATTTTTTTAGATAGGGTCTCATACTTTTCTGCCCAGCCCAGGCTTGGGCTGTGATCTTCCTACATGTGTTTCCCCCATAGGTAGAATTACAGGCATGTGTCACCATACCAGGCTTAGCTATTTTAAAATGTATAGTTCAAGGCATTAAGTACATTCACACTGTTGTGCAACCATCACCACCATCCTTCTCTAGAACTTTTTCATCTCCCCAAACCAAGTCAAAATACTTTTAACTGTTGTTTTGCTGCATTGATTTTTTTTTAATTATAAATTTGATTTTTTTTTTTTTTTTTGGCAGTACTGGAGTTTGAACTGAGGGCCTTACGTGCTAGGCAGGTACTGTACCCAATTGTACCACACCTCAGCCTGCCTTAGTTATTGCCCAGTTATTTCCAAAAACTGCTAGTTTTTGCCCAGGGCCGGCCTTGGATCTTGATCCTCCTATCTATGGCTACCTGGTAGCCAGGATCACAGATGTGTCACCATATCTGGCTAGTCTCGGGTTTTTTTTCTGGTGGTTCTGGAGTTTGAAGTCAGTGCCTCCCACTTACTAAGCAGGCACTCTGCCACTTGAGTCACACCCTCTGCATTTTTTTGGCCTTAGTTATTTTTCAGAGAAAGTCTCACTTTTTCCCTGTCTGGCCTTGGACTGCAATCCTCCTACCTATGCCTTTCTCAAAGCTGGGCTTAAAGAGGCATACCACCACTGCTGGCTTGTGTGTTGAGACAGGGTCTTGCTAACTTTTTGCCTGGGCTGGCTTTGAACCTTGATCCTTTCCCTACCTCCTGAGTAGTTAGGATTATGGGTGTATACAAGGAGGCCTGGCCCTGTTTTTTGAGACAGAATCTCATTATGTATTCCAGGCTGACCTCAATTTATAATCCTTCTGCCTCAGCTTCTTGATTGCTAAAATTATCATGCTACTCGTGCTAATCTTGGCATGAGTCTCCTTTTAAACAGAGAATCAATGGGAACTAATTAGATGCTATATAGCACTTTAGCTGGACCAAAAAATACTTTAGATTCATTAGGTACCAGGTTATAAATCCCATCTCTGCAGAAAGAATGGAGACTTAAGATGGAGTTAATTAACTTGACCATTACCTAATGAGACTGAAGCAAAATTTCAAGTAAGACTAAAACTGTTCCATCATAGCTGACATCAGGTTGTTTTTTTCCCTGGTATTCACTATAAAAATACAAAGACGCTCTTGCTTTCAAATTGGTTTGTTGCTCATTGAATTGTAGATGTTTTGGCCAATACATTTTTGGGGGAAGGGTGGAGGCTCTGGGGATTGAACACAGGGCCTGAAGCATGCTAGGCACATGGTCTACCTTATTCAAGACTCTTGGCTCTGTGGTGTAAGTGTGGAGGAGTGAGATATGATGGCCTCTGCAAGTAACTTTGCAGTACATTAAAGTAGGATGGCTAACACGAATGGACAGAGGGATGGAAAGATGGTTGACGTGCAAAGCAAACATGAAAATGTTAATCGCAGATCTAGGTGATGGGCATGCTTACTGTAAAATTCTCTCAACTCTTGAATGTTTGAAAACTTGCATGCTTTAAAATGTTGTTAGGAGGAGCCTAGCCATTTGCTCTTCAAAGTATAAAAACATACTAGGTCTTTATACCTACCTTATTTTCTCTCAGGTAACCCTGTGAAGTTGCCATTAGCCTCATTTTACAAATGAAATAGCTAAAGCTCAGAAATGTTCAATGACAGACTTATTGCCATACAGTTGTGGAAACTAAATTGGGCCTGGAATCAAGGTCTGCCAGTTGAGGAGAGGCAATGTGGTGAAGTAAAATGTAACACTCAGTTCCCAATGGTAATCACCTTTGGGACTCTGGGGTTCAGAGAAGCAGTGTTTGTTCAGACAGATTTGGGCCACCCAGCACCAGTTCTAGCATGCAGTCATGCTAGGTACCCACCCACCTGTTTATTCCTTCAAAAGTCCAGATGTAAATGGGTCCAAAAGGCAGCTTAATTGTGGACACATATGGACATT